CTCGCTCTGAACTGCAGCAGATCCTCTTGAACATGTCTACATGCTGACATGCAGCGAGCTGCTGCCATGTGATTGGCTGATTAGACATCTGCGTTAACGAGCAGTTGGACAGGCGTACCTAATAAAGTGTCCGGTGAGTGTACATTGAAGAGTGTGAGGAGTGCAGGTTTTCTCGCTCCTCTTCTCCATCACACACACACACACACACACACACACACACACACACACACACACACACACACACACACACACACACACACACACACACACACACACACCTATCCTCTATAGTCCACACTGCAGATTTCACCAACACATTTCTAATCATAACAGTGTTAATAACTCATCTCTAATCACTGATGTGTTCCTCTTCTCCATGATGACAGCACATCATATTAGACTAGATCTTCTTCAAGACACTAGTGTTCAGCTTACAGTGACATGTAAAGGCTTCACTAGGGTAATCAGGGTAAAGTTAGGGTAATTAGGCAAGTCATTGTATAACAGTGGTTTGTTCTGGAGACAATCCAACACTAATATTGCTGAAGGGGTGAATAATATTGACCACAGCATTCTTAACTATATATATAACGAAATTAAACTTTACTTACAAATGTGGGCGTCCTCTAAAGGAGATTTTGTCCATCCATTTTGTAAATCAATGTGGTACACAGATTGTAGTGAGTACAGTACACACACACTGAGCGAGAGGAAGGAGTGTGTGTTGTGGGGGGTCCAGGCGGGCAGCAGGGCTCTGTTTTACCATGCTAATTTCAGCCCCACAGGAACTGACTGAAGCTCTACATGTGTAAAACAGCAGAGAAGAAGAGGAGGAATGTGCTCATGCATCACACACACACACACACACACACACACACACACACACACACACACACACACACACACACACACACACACACACACACACACACACACACACACACACACACACTCTCTCTGTCTCTCAATCACATTCCTCCTGCATGTTTCTTTTTGGCCGACATTCTCAAACACACACACACTGACAGACACACACATTCTCAAACACATTCCTCCTGTGTGTTTCTTGTCATCTGACATTCTCAAACACACAGATATACAAATGCTGACAGACAAATACTCTTACACACACACACACACACACACACTCATTCACCGACACACACACACACACACACACACAAAACAAAAGACATGCACACACTCAGATATACACACACATACAGATACAAACACAAAACTCGTATATATACACACACACACACACACACACAAACACACTCAGATATGGACAAACAGATGGACACAAACACGAGCTAACAAACACACAAACAAACACACAGGTATAAAACCACTGACACACACACAAACACATGCTTACACACACTCAGAGATAAACACATAGGCAGACACACACACACACACACACACACACACACAAAACAAAAAAACAAACACATAAATAAACACAAAGATTTACAAACATATTCTCAAACAAACACACACACTCAGATATACACACATGGACAGACACAAACACACACACATACAGATGTAGAAAAACACAAACAAACAGATAAACAAATACTCAAAGACACACACACACGCACACAAACACTGACAGTCACAAACACACACACAGATGTACACAGAAAGACAGACACACAAACACACACTCACATATACACACGGACAGACACAAACACGCACGCACACAAACAAACACAGATATACAAACACTGACAGATATACACACACAAACACGCACACAGAGATATACACAAACACACACAAACACACACATACACAGATATACACACTCTGAGAAACACACACACACACACACACATTTCTGCACTGTATTTCAGTTTCTCCAGATTGATCCAGATATCTTCACCTGTTTGATGAAGATTTGAAAGGATTAATAATAACGTCTGACCCCAGAACAGTCACTGAAACTGCAGATCTTTACACTTAAATCAACACAAACATCAGTGATCGTCACAATCAGCTTTATTTCTGTGTTGACTTGACATCTTTCAGACAGAAGAACAGATGAGGAGAGATGATGACTTACACACACTGATGAATATTCATGACTCAGATCATCAACACAGTCCATTTCATTAAACATTAGAGTGTTAACACAGAGGCGCAGTGGGTAGCATGATCCCCACACAGCAAGAAGGTCTCTGGTTTGAGTCAGTTGGTGTTTCTCTGTGGAGTTTGCATGTTCTCCCCGTGTTGGCGTGGGTTTCCTCCGGGTGCTCCGGTTTCCCCCACAGTCCAAACACATGCGCTATAGGGGAACTGATCAACTACACTGGCCCTAGTGTATGAGTGTGTGTGAAAGAGTGTGTATGGGTGTTTCCCAGTACTGGGTTGCTGCTGGAAGGGTATCCGCTGTGTGAAACACATGCTGGAATAGTTGGCGGTTCATTCCGCTGTGGCGACCCCTGATAAAAGCAATAAGCTGAAGGAAAATGAATGAATCATGATGTCAGCTCCTGTTAATACTCAATCATTCATTCATCTTCTTTTCGGCTTATTCCTTTTATTCATCAGGGGTCACCACAGTGGAATGAACCGCCAAACATTACAGTTTGCATGTTCTCCCCGTGGGTTTCCTCCAGGTGCTCCGGTTTCCCCCACAGTCCAAACACATGCGCTATAGGGGAACTGATCAACTACACTGGCTGTAGTGTACGAGTGTATATGAGTTTCCCAGTACTGGGTTGCAGCTGGAAGGGCATCCACTACATGATACATATGCTGGAATAGTTGGCAGTTCATTCCGCTGTGGCAACCGCTGATAAATAAGGGATTATAAAATCATATAATTCATTAATTTTCCATCGGCTTATTGCTTTTATCAGGGTACGCCACAGCGGAATGAACCACCAACTATTCCAGCATGCGTTTTACACAACGGGTGCACTTCCAGCCCCAACCCATCACTGGGAAACACCCACACACACACTCATACACAATGGCCAGTTGATCAGTTCCCCTATAGCGCATGTGTTTGGACTGTGGGGGAAACCGGAGCACCCGGAGGAAACCCACACCAACACAGGGAGAACATGCAAACTCCACACAGAAACACCAACTGACCCAGCTGGCACTCGAACCAGCAACCTTCTTGCTGTGATTGTGGTACCCACTTCGCCACCGTGACGCCCTGTAGACTATATAATTATATTTAAATATATATATAATAAAAAATGGAATAAAAATGAAACCCTGCTGCATTTCCACATACATTTTTATTTTATTTCAGCACCGTCTCAGTAAATGTTCATTTATAAATCAATTAAGACACGACCAGTTAAATAAATTACCATGCGAACATGTAGGATAAATGTGTCCTATATTTACTAATGTTATCAAACGACTCCTCGTGTAAGGTGTGCTCTTTCTTTGGAATAAAGCTGATGTATTACTCTACAAAATGAAGACGTTCATATTCAACATTTAATCCAAAGCTCAGACGCGAGTAAACACAGACTACATCTACAGTGTGTTCCTCATCTGAGCTCTTCATTATTTCAGGCATGGGCTGATTTATGAGTGTTATTAAAGTCAGCGGTGTCACTAAAGCAGTGAACACGGCGTACATCACTTTTACATTTCTGCCGATAACCTGATGTGTGTTTCTGTGAGAGCACACTGACCACACTAAACACTTCTACATTAGCTTATAATGGGCACATGTTCGTTTAACACATGCATCTGATATTATTTAATGCGACTAATAAGATCAAGCGCTGAACTAAAGAGCTGTAAATATCGCTCAATGCTAACATTAACTAATGCATTTACACTCAATACAGGTTTAACATCAGCGAGTGCGTGAAGTAGCATTCATGTGATGTATGCAAGACATTTACAGCCTTACTGTAAAACGCTAGCTAACAGAAGCATTCAGGGTAGTTTACAGTAGTTAGCTGATGGTGAACGCTCACAGTGAAGTGTCAGGATGAGGTTGTGTGATTTCTCTAACTGAAGCTTGTGTTGGTCTGTGACTCTCAATGTGGTCTTTTTATTATTCTCAGTCTGTGTCTGTTTCTGTCAGTTATTCTGTCTTTGTCCTTTCTGTGTCTGTGATTCTGTTTTTGTCTGTCTGTTTTTGTTTTTTTAATTCTGTCTGTATCTTTGTTTCTGTGTCTTTCTTTGTAAGTCCATTTCTTTGTCTTTGATTCAGTGTTTGTCTGTACTTCCTGTTTCTGTGAATCCGTCTTTGTCTGTACTTTTTTTGTGTCTCTGATTCTGTCTTAGTCCATTTCAGTGTCTGTTGATTTGTCTTGTCTGTTCATGTCAGTGACTGTCTGTGATTCTGTCTTTATGTGTCCATTTCTGTGATTCTGTCACTTTCAGTGTCTGTAATTCTGTCTTTGTCTGCTTCAGTGTCTGTGATTCTGTCTTTGTCTGCTTCAGTGTCTGTGATTCTGTCTTTGTCTGCTTCAGTGTCTGTGATTCTGTCTTTGTTTCAGTGTCTGTGATTCTGTCTTTGTTTCAGTGTCTGTGATTCTGTCTTTGTTTCAGTGTCTGTGATTCTGTCTTTGTTTCAGTGTCTGTGATTCTGTCTTTGTTTCAGTGTCTGTGATTCTGTCTTTGTCCGTTTACAGTAGTCCGTTAACTCTGAATGTAATTCCGTGTTTGTCTGTCATTCTGTTTGTGACTCTGTCTGTGATTCCGTCAATGACTCTGTCTGTGATTCCGTCAATGACTCTGTCTGTGATTCCGTCAATGAATCTGTCTGTGATTCCGTCAATGACTCTGTCTGTGATTCCGTCAATGACTCTGTCTGTGATTCCGTCAATGACTCTGTCTGTGATTCCGTCAATGACTCTGTCTGTGATTCCGTCAATGACTCTGTCTGTGATTCCGTCAATGACTCTGT